TGGTGGTGGTGATGGTGATGACAGTGATGATGATTAGTGGTGGTGGTGATGATGGTGGTAATGGTGGTGGTGGTGGTGGTGGTGATGGGGTGGGATGATGATGGTGATAATGGTGGTGGTGGTGATGCTGCAGATGATGATGGAGAAGAAAGGGTGTATGAGGTAAGAAGGTATTGACATAATCTAAGATGGAAGGACAAGGATGACTAGGGAAGGGAACCATAAAAGAAAATTTAAAAGATGAGGGCAGGGATTAGAGAGAGCATCTCTGGGACCCTTGGCTTTGTGAGTTGTAGCTGCCTTTCCCCAAAGAAGTGAACTGGGGGTCCAGGTCCTGCATTGCTAACTGTCCTCCTCTTCACTTACAGAGGACCTCCTGCTTTAAGAAGGAAGATACCCCTTTCACTCTGAATTCATGTGCATGTATTTGCTCCTGTCTCTTAAAGGATGGCCACCAGCCCCATCCTTCTATCCTACCCACAAGGCCAAGTACAGACTCTCCTGGCTGGTGATAGAGATGCCAGTGACTGATTGGATCTTTCCACTGGCCAAATATGTACTGAGCTATCACTCTGTGCCCCATAAGCACACACAGTTGTCATCTGTCAGTAAAAAACAACACAGAACATAAAGCCTGCCAGAGAGACTTCTCCTTGTAGCCACTTTGACGAGCTGTGGGTCTGAGTCACTTCCCTGGGGGCAGGTATGAAAGAAGAGGCTGTTCCAGCCTCAGCACTGCCTTTGGAGCAGGGTAGCCCTATTAATTTTTGGTAGACCATACTAAAATATGGTGGTTAATATTATGACCATGGGTTTAGTTTAATTTTTGAATACTTTGGTTCTAAGGAGGAAAGAGCCTGGTGAGTCCTAGTTTGTGGTGTGTGTCAGCTGGACTGGCTGTTTTTGTGGATAGTTTTAGGTCAGGGCTCTGGCTTCGACCATGTGGTTGTTCAGGGAGAACATGGCCACGTCTAATCTCCCATAGGGTGTTTGTTCAGTTGGTAAGTGGGGCTGTCAACTGTGGTCTTTGTGTCAGTTCAGGCATCAGATTTTTCATCTACGTGTTAAAAAAAAGAAGAAGAAACAGACAAGCTTAAGGCTTTGAATCTTAGAGGTGAATGTGATGTTTTTCACTTTCTCTCCATTTGCTAAGATAAATATTGTGGTTAGCGTGTCTGCTGCTGGGTGGATTAGCGAAGACAGCAATCTACTC